GAATCGATTTCATATACCTTATCATAAACCCTTGGAGCGGTTGATGAAGTTCAGAATCGGTTTCATATACCTTATCATAAACCCTTGAGGCAGTTGATGGGGTTAATAATCGGTTTCATATACCCTATCATAAACGCCGTCGACCATTCATGATGCCCATAAACGCTTTCCAATATCGTTTCTGAGAGGGGCTCACGGGTAAAGTACTTTAATCAACCCTTTTTAGACTGAGTTTCGAAGGTTTTATAAGAACGTTTATGTTAATTATCAACCCGTTTCAGGGGTTTATGAAAGTGCAACGTGTCGCAATCCCTTTAAGGATTTATGAATCTTATCAACCCTTCAATAAACCTTCCAGAAAGAATATTTAACGTTAATAAATTCCGTATTAAACCCTTTTTAGAGGGTTTATAACAGGGTTTATGACTCGTTGATAAACGGTTGAAAAGGGTTTGCTACACGTTGCACTTTCATAAACCCTTTTTTCGTTTTTTATTCTACGATTCTTTTTTACAGTGTATGGCCATTAGCGATTTGTACTATTTTATATTGCTATCAAGGCTGGTAAGTTGATTATGCCATGCATTGATTTTACGTCATAGTGGAAGCTTAGTGTTTTGAAAGGATTAGTTTCATTCTCTTGTGCACTGAAATTACCTGAACAAAAGAGACAAAAAACTCTCCATTGATTTGTGGATGATTAAACATGCTTTTTAGTTATGTATAAAGATTATGAAGACTCGAAAAATTCCACAATAACTATTAGCGATAATAGTTTATATTTAACAGAAAGATCTTGTTGTTGTTTTCTTATCCTTGTTGACTTTTGATCAATTTTTATTTACAATAGTAGACAGATTCAAATAAGAAATTCTGGTACTCAACAAGGAAGTCTCGATCTCGATTAATGCAGCAATTATAATAGTATTTGTGTGGCAAGTATCGAGACTGTAATGCACCTCTCATAGAGCTCAAAAAATGATGAAATTGTTTTGATTATTCTATGACAAATTGCTATTCTCTCTTTGTCACCTACTCTTTAACACTTTGAAAAGCTCAGCAGCATGTTGAAGATTTAAAAACATATGGCTACTACAATCTATCATTGATCTTTCATCGTTTTTGTTTTTCCTCGATTCCTATCTCTCTAACTATTGTGTAATGAAGAATTGAAGTTAATCTTGAATCAATAATATCACAAAATGTATATTTCTATTATAGTTTTAAATCAAATCTTATAGTTCAAATTCATTTCGATCTGATCTCGATCGTATTGATTCAATAACAAATATTGGATTTTTGTAGAATTGTACTATATATGTAATTTCGAACAAAGTATTACTTTTTTACATCCTAACTACGATTAATATCTCTAAGACTATGAAATGGTAAAAAAGCCGTATGTCAGAACTTTTTATATAAAATTTCACTTTGTAATAAATGACTCTGTTATTTTTTCTGAGAATCGATTTCAAAGTTCTTAAGAATTCAGAGAAATTCTCTCATACAATCATCATAAGATAATTCGTTTCCATTACAACAATCTGTTTTTGTGAAACACGATCTGAAAGGAGTGTTGAAGTATATAGGGTAGAAATTTTGGATCCACCCCACTCTCCACAGACCATGACAGACATCTTATTTCATTAATTAATTAGTATGTAATTAACTAATTAACCGCCACAGACCGTAGTAGACTGGTTCGAAAGCCATCACAGACCGTGACAGACGCCCTTGATGGGTCGTTATAGAGGCTGATAGCCGCTTCAAGAGACCATCAAATGTTCTGTATAACTAACATCTAATTAGAGTATTCATGTGGTATTTTCTTTATGAAGTTCTACTCTGTAAATTTAGCAATGCTAATGAAATATGCCCAGTATACGTAAAAAACAGCAGTTTTAGGGAATTAGTAACAATAGGTATATCGTGTTTTACATTTTAATCCCGCAGGAATTGCGCTAACAGGTTTTTTCCTATAAATACTTATTGTAGTAGATATCATCTAGTGTCATGACAACTGATCGAAATATTTCGACAATACCATCTTCATTTGTTTATGAAGACTTACTCTCTCAAGTTAAGACCATTCAAGTTTATATAGTTAAAACTAAAAATGTACTTGATAATCGATCAAAAAATGAAAGAAGAAAACGACATCAATTGAAATCTCGTTCATTAATATTTATTGATCCATATGGTAATAAAATTGTCGACAAAATTATGGATCATGAAATGATCAATGATGTCATAAAAAAGTTTAAGAAGACTTATGTACCAAAGTATTTACAAAAATGGATAAAAATTGGAACTAAAAAAGACAATATTATCTCATCATTAAATAATTGTCAATTGAGATCAACTGTATCTCATTATGCAAATAACTATCAATTTATTGCATATAGTGAAGTAATTGTATGGCTTGGATGTTATAAAAATTTACCATCTCATCGATGTATTTTACGTGTTCTATTAACCGGTAATATGGAAAAAATAAAAATGCAAATAAACCAAATTGGGAAATTTACTAGTATAGAATTAAAATCATGTACGTTAAAACCAGAAACAAAGCCGAACGAAAAAGATTGGATTGAAGGTACAATACTTGAAACAGAAGATACCATTATGTCACGTCAATTATATGAAGATAATTGTGTTATCATGGCAAAAATTACACAAAAACAGGTATATGATCATCTTTTATTCTTCCTTTGATATCATATAGTTTTGTATTGTTTTTTTTTCCTAAAGTTTGATTTTCTCATATTTGTGCGAACCCTCACCGGAAAAACGATTACTTTATCAGTGAATTCCGAAATGGATATAAACACTGTGAAAGAACTACTACAAAAAACAGAAGGCATTCCTGTTGATCAGCAACGTCTAATATTTGCTGATTCCCAGTTAGAAGATAGCAGAACTCTTGCAGACTACGGCATATGGAAAGAATCGACGATGTATATGGTGCTTCGTTTACGAGGCGGAATGTATCATTTTACTAGTGGTCGACAGGATTTCAATAATTTGTCTTATAATAGTGCCGAAGCAGTTAAAAATGTTCTTGGTTTTAAGTTTAAAAATATAGATCATGCCTCCTTTTTATCATCAGATGAATTACAAAATTCTCTTTTACAAGCGCAAACTGTTCTCTCAACTTTATATAGTTCAACTGAACACGCCTTTACACCAAATGATATTCCACATCTAAAGTCAACTATATTGCCAACAACTGCCAATATTGATGAAGATAGCAAAAACGATGAATTTTTTTTTTTTTGATTCTGCATGTGTTTTATTTGTGACGCTCTGGAGCGCTTACAAATGGGATAGGTTATAAAAGGTGGAAGGGATAACAAGAAAAAAAAGGGGAAAGGAGAAAAGACAAGAAGAAAATGGAAAAAGACATAAATTGGTAGGAGAGGAAAGGTGTAAAAATGAGGAAATAATAGGAATATAAGGATTGTAGATTGCATGATTCTTTTATATCCACGTAGAGAACACATTATTAAGAGGAGACAAAAAATGACTAAGAACTTTGTGAAGTTGTTGAACTGGTAGCAGGGCATGGATGAGCAAATGTTGGAAAGTGGTGAAGCGGCTCATATGATGCTAAGTGTGTTTATCCTACACTTCATATTAATTTATAGTCATGATGCATGCTCTTAATTTTCAATGAATTGTAACCATATTCCTAATAGGGATTTTTGTTTCTTTTTCAGCTCTTTTACTCGTTTTAGTTGGAAAAAGTGTCCTAGTCCATCATTTTTTTCTTTTTTAAAATTAACCCAGTAGAACATGTCATCGAAGAATAATGATTTTGAAAGATCTGATCTGTAGATTTTTTTAAGTCTTTTCTTTATGTATTGTTTAACATAGAAATCTAAATCCTTTTCATTCATAATAGATTGCAACTCTTTGGCTGTAACCCATGGGCATCGGTGCACTAATATCAAACTTGCTCTAAACTTCTGGCGCAGTAGTTCCTGATGGGTACGAGGAAGGAGGGGAAAGAGACAAAAAAGCCAAGCAAAAAAGAGGAAAGAATAAGCAAAAAAGCATTGTCTCAGTAGACTAGTGGAGATTACTCGGCAGCGTTTTAACCACTTCAGTTTCGCATATGCCCGTTGAACCTTTTCTAGACAATTTACAACAGACTTGCGCATGGAAAATCTGCTAGTCCAAGTGTAACCGAGGTATTTGAAGTCCGTAACGCATTTAAGTGGTTTACTGTTCATAGATACTTTGAGGGGACGTAGGGTTATTTGGGTGTGGAATATTTGGTAGACCGATTTGGAGATGTTGATTGGTTGTTTCCACTTTCTTGCGTATTCGAAAAGATTGTTGCTGACTTTCGTGCCTTCATTTTCAAGAAACTGCAACATGGGTTCTATTTTCTTCTCTATTGGAGGTTTGATCAAAACATTTAGGTCATCTGCAAAGATGTGAGTCGAAAATGCTCCAATAGCTTGAATGAGATCAGGGTGTGGGTGTGGGTGTGGGTGTGTGGGTGTGTGGGTGTGGGTGTGTGTGGGGTGTGGGTGTGGGTGTGGG